ATTAGTTTTTTGGTAAATATTTGTGCATATTAATCACCTTATTAGCATAATTAGTTAATTTTCAGCTTTTCACCTGATATCTCAAGTACTAATCATCACATTTCAATGAGACTTGCCACATAGATATTCTAGGACTATGCAGAGACCTGATTAATTTTGAGATAAAAAAATTGTGCCTATTAATTACCTAATTTGCATAATTAGTTAATTTTTTGCTGTTCTATGGCTGTTGCACTGATGTCTAAAAACCACTCATTGGATTTCAATGAAACTTTTAAATAGTACCCATCACCTTTCAATGAACCTAAGACTCTGCACCATATTAGTTTTTGGTAAATATTTATGCTTCTTAATCACCTAATTAACATAATTAATTAATACTAATATCTCAAGTATTGATCATCACATTTGAATAAAACTTGGTACATAAATGCTCTAGGACAATAGACAGCCTGATTAATTTTGGGTTAAAATCTGTTCATATTAATTCTCTAATTAGCATAATAATTAATATTTTTTTGGTTCTAATCACATTCCAATGAAACTTGGTACATTGTGCAGACCTTATTAGTTTTACAACTAAATCTGTTCATATTTGTTACCTTATTTGCATAATTAGTTTTCAGCTATTCCATCAATATCTCAAGTATAAGTAATTTTGAATTAATTTTTAATGTGTCTCCAAAACTCTCAGCACACGGGAGTTTTTTCTAAGCTTTCTTTGATTGTTTTAATGAATGTGGTTCCGGTACCATATCTCTGACTTGCTTTGACTGATTATGTTCAAATTTTAAATATTCATTATACATCATGTCATAGATATACAGATATATTGGTTTGACAATCCTATTAAAAATGGCTGAATGGTGGCCATTTTTGTGCTAAAAAGTCATAAAATATCAAGCATTTATGGATTGATTTTGTTCAAACTTGGTACATACGTTGGACATTACCGGTTCCTATTATAATTGCACATTTTATTTTTCAGATCGGATTCAGAATGGCTGACTTGCGGTCATTTTGTTTTAATGAAAGGGCTTCTAGAGCCATATCTCTGACATGCTTTGACTGATTATGTTCAAATTTTATATATTCATTATACATTATGTTATAGATATATACATGTATTCAAAATGGCTGATTTTGAATGCTGTTCCAGAGCAATATCTCTCAATGTGGACAAGTACTCGTTTGACGATCAGATAACGTCAATCATTTTAATGTTATACAATCATCATAATCATATTCTTGAAATGGTTATATTCCAGCTATATTACTATAAACAAAACTATATATCTTAAATTCGATAACTAACGGGGACTGTATGTAGGTATGCTGTGGGGCTTTAGCATGTCAGTATGCAAAAAATATTACGTGTAGAGTATATGAAAACATGACCCGATATTTCATATTTTTCAGTCGGTCGCTGAGGACAACAATTTTTCTTTTGCCCTTATACTGCAGTCTTCTAACACATTAGCAGCCATCTTTGTTGGGATTTGATATCCCCGGCAAAACGATTTTAAAATTCATCATGCATGTCAGCCTGAGCATATAATACGTTTATATTATATTAACTTACAAAGCTATATATGTGACACCTTTATTATGTTAAGCATGTAATATGTGCACGGGAAAAATACCATGTGTAACTTCACTCATGTGAAGTGTGCTAGGAGTATACCATACATTGTGTGTGTTGAGAAATTACCAGTTTAAATGCTTACATAATGGGTTCAATGTTATTAAGGATACAAATTTGCTAAGGGTAAGTACTGTACTGAGTAATTACATGTCTCTGATTCAATCAACATGTACGTGTGTGAAAAACAAAAAAACAAACAATAATGTTAATATTTGCAGTGAACACAGTCGTACTGTTAACAATGTTTACAAATTGAAAGATTACTTGGTATATGTGATTATATAAAAGCTGGTGAAATACTACCCGTAATAACAAATAGTCTTCCAGATCAATGGTATATATTTACAACCACAAAGAAACAGAATATACAAGTCATTTTAAATCCATGTTTATACAATACACACATGTTACAAAAATGCATATTAGCTTTTTTTTGCATACAGGAAATGTATCATTAAGTTTGTAAGCTGAGTGAACACTATGGGTTAGTGGCTGTGTTCACTGCATCACAAGCAACTGTTCCATTGGATACAAATAATAATACTGTAACATGACTAATTTTCACTGGGTTTAAATTTCACTGATTTAGCATTTCAGGGACATTCAGTGGGTTTTAAATTCACGCTTTTATCATTTTTATAATGTGTTCTATGCTAAATTTTACATATTCACTGGGTTTTAATTAAGCACATTTGCCAGTCAGCGAAAATAAGCAAAATTAAAACCCAGTGAATAATTAACCCTTTTACAGTACCACATACATGTAGTGAATTCCTAGTTGCCATCTACATATGTCATGATGTTTGAAATTCCTTGAAATTGATAACATTACAATAATGAACTATTGTTGATCAAATATATAATCTATAATGAACTATTGTTGATCAATTACATACCGGTAATCTATAATGAATTATTGTTGATCAATTATATACCGATAATCTATAATGAACTATTGTTGATCAATTATATATCGGTAATCTATAATAAACTATTGTTGATCAATTATATACCGATAATCTATAATGAACTATTGTTGATCAATTACATACCGGTAATCTATAATGAATTATTGTT